GAAATACACACAAAAAAAAAAAAAAAAAAAACAATTTATTCTGAAACTTGATAAAAGTTGATATGGAAAAGATAGTCAAGAATAGCTATGAAAATTTAAATAAAAATGGAGAACAGGAAGGAAGAAGCCTACAATACCAGATGCCAAATGCATAGCAAAGCGGAATCTAAAATCTGCCAAGGACTAAGGACTAATGACTAATGTATCATGTACATCAGAAAACAATCATTCTGGGACCAGCAGTTAGCGTAATGGCTATGTCACTGGACTCCCACGTAGTCAACTCCAGTTGAGTCCCAGACCCAGTGGCTTAAACTCACGCTGGGCATGTGTGCCCAAGATCCCGAGAGGAGAATGGAGGAGAAGGGATTGCGGCGTGGCCATCCCCCAGGGGGTGATTTCTCGCTTTTTGTCTCTCTGTCTCTGTCTGGCGAGCGCACGTGCCCTATAGCAAAAAAAAGAAAACAGTCATTCCGGACTGGCCATGTGGCCTATTGGTTAAGGGAGCTAGATTCCACATGGGCAACTGTGTAGTCTGAATTCTGGACCTGACCAACTTGAAAGACACACTTGGGTGCATATATTTGTGAATGCCCAAAATCCCAACAAAGTGGAGAAATTAAAAAGGAGCTGTGGCATGACCATGCCCAAGGGGGGAGTACTTTCTCCCTCTCTCTCTCTGGCAGGGCATCTACCCTCTGGCAAATTTTTTTTTTTTTTTTAAAGAAAACAATGATTCCAAATCAATTAGAAAAAGAGATACATTAGTCAATGAATGACACAAGGATAATTAGCTAACTATTATGGCCAAAATATAGTTAGATTATCTACTGCTATACATTAAAAGTGTGTAAAACAAAACCAAAGGATGACTAAAAGAATGCAGAGGTGAATAATTATCCATCCCGGGGTACAGAGACAAAGCAAGACCAGGACGAGGAGAGTGGTGAGGTTATGAGCCAAATGCCAAAGAGGGAATTCTCAAGACAATGATAAACTGGGTTTAGAAGAATGATATTCTTAAAGAACAATAAACTCTCAGAAGACGATCTTCTTAGATCTATTATTAAAATGGCAAATGTGATTAAAAAACAAAACAACAGGAACCAGCAGTTAGCGTAATGGCTATGCCGCTGGATTCCCACGTAATCGACCGCGGTTCGCGTCCCGGACCTGGTGGCTTAAAACTCACGCCAGGCACGTGTGTGTGCGTGCCCAAGATCCAGAGAGGAGAATGGAGGAGAAGGGATTGTGGTGTGACCATCCCCCCGGGGGGTGATTTCTCGCTTTCTGTCTCCCTGTCTCTCTCTGTCTGTCTGGCGAGTGCACGTGCCCTATAACGAAAACCTATCCAAAAAAAAAAAAAAAAACCAGTAAGGAAAAAAATTCAAAGATAAATTAGAAAACTATACTTACACCATGAAAAAAAAAAGTATCTAAATCCTTCATTTATTTTTTTTAATTTGACGAGAGAGAGAGAGAGAGAGAGAGAGAGGGAGAGGGAGAAGGAGAAGGAGGGAGGGAGGGGAGAGAGAGGAGGAGAGGAAGAGAAGGAAAGGAAGAGAGAGAGAGAGGGAGAAAAAGAGAGGGAGAGGAGGAGAGAGAGAGGAGGAGAGAGAGAGGAGGAGAGGGAGAGAGAAAGAGAAAGAGAAAGCAAGCCATCAGGTCTAGGATTCGAGCTATGGTTGGCCATGGAGGAGTGTCCAGCACCTTAACCACCACACCACATGCTGATCCCCAGAGAATCTAAATCCTCACAAAATCAATAAGGGAAAAAAAAAACACAAAAAAAGAGTTAAGTAGGCAATTTACCTAAGGAACATATAAAAAGCTATTTACTCTCTAGTATATAAAAATTATAAACTAAAATATAATTTTCTACCCATCAAATTAAAACTGTGTTTGTTTTTTTTTTTGGAGAGGTTTTTGCTATAGGGCGAGTACGCTCGACAGAGAGACAGAAAGCGAGAAATCACCCCCCAGGGGGGATGGCCACGCCGCAATCCCTTGTCCTCCATTCTCCTCTCAAGATCCTGGACACACACGCAATCGTGCCTGGCGTGAGTTTAAGCCACCAGGTCCAGGACTTGAACGGCGGTCGACTACATGGGAGTTCAGTGACATAGCCATTACATTAACTGCTGGTCCCTCAAATTAACTTTTTAAAAAACTTTAAGATTTATTATTATTTTAGATTCGCTATAGGGCACATGTAGTAACCTGAGAGAGACAGAGAAAATAAGAAAGCAAGCCACCAAATATGGGATTTGAACCACAGTTGTCTCAGTGCTTTACCTGCCAAACTACCTGCTGGCCCCAGGATTGTATTTTCTTGTTTTGTTTAAAAGAGACAGCACATGTGCCTGGCCTGAGTTTCAAGCTGTCAGGTCTAGGACTTGAACTGCTGTCAAGTACATGGGAGTCCAGCGACATAAACATTATGCCATCTACTGGTCCCAGTATTGCTCATCTTCTGACTATAAATTTGAAAGTAGTCTCCCCTTATCCATGGTTTCCATTTCCATGGTCAACCCAGTCTGAAAATATTAAATGGAAAATTTCAGAAATAACTCAAAAGTTTTAAATGTGTACCACTTCTAGTGGCATTAACAAAACATTGCACTGTCCCATGCAGGATGTGACTCATTCTTTTGTCCAGCATATATTTGCTGTATGTGCTAGTCACAACCATTACTAACTTAGGAGGTGTCTGGGTTATCACATAAAAAAATGTATATAGGATTCGTCCTGGTTTCAGTCACCCATGGGAGTCTTAAAACGTATCCTACCATGGATAAGGGAGGACTTACTGCATTAGTTTTCAAATTACAATACCCATCATAGTGCAACATTAAATGGCCCACTGGGTTCCAACTCAGGATCCTAGCACCTGCTCTTCCCCCAGCCTTTAATGGCCAGTCCCAACCTGCTCCTTTTTAATTGGTTAACTCCTTTTCACCCTTCATATCTCAATTTGAGGGGCCAGCAGGTGGTGTGGTAGTTAAAACACTGGACTTCCAACTGGTAGGTCACAGTTAAAAAGTCCCAGAACTACTGGCTTGAAAATTATGCTGGGCACATGTGCATGGGTGCCCAAAATCCCAACAGGAGAATGGAGAAGTGAACATCCCCCATCAGGGAATGATTTTTCATTTTCCTTCTCTCAGTACTTCTCTGGAAAATGCACATACCCTATGGTGAAAAAAACGTTAAAAACAAACAAAAAGCCACTCTGTGGAGAGCAAAATGAGCAAACACCATGACATTTAGATACAAACAGGATGTCCCAGCTTCATTTGCATAACATTGAAAGCATTAGAATCTGAAAATGCTAACTGCCCCGTTGTTGTGCATAATCCAAAGCAGTATCTGACTACAGTAAGCCCCATAAGTTTAACAGATCTCACCCCAGAAAGATCAGAGAAACTACAGGGTGCCCATCAGAAGATTTACATCCAAAAACAACTGGCTTTGCATTCCATTTCCTCTTCCTCCCTTTTCTGGCCTTTAAAATAAACTTGAAGCTGTTCCAGTGGCAGAAGACAGGACCATGCTTTTCTATACTTCTATGTCTGTGTGTGTTTATTTTTAAATTTATTTCTAATCCACTACCCCCTCTCCCAGAAAAACGGGTCTGCAAAGCAGGTCCCTACAAAACTCAATTTGAGGGAACCAGCAGTTAGCGTAATGGCTATGTCGCTGGACTCCCACGTAGTTGACCGCGGTTCGTGTCCCGGACCCGGTGGCTTAAAACTCACGCCGTGTGCGTGCATGCCCAAGATCCCGAGAAGAGAATGGAGGAGAAGGGATTGCGGCATGACCATCCCCCCTGGGGGGTGATTTCTCGCTTTCTGTCTCTATGTCTCTCTCTGTCTGTCTGTCTTGCGAGCGCACGCGCCCTACAGTGAAAATCTCTCAAACAAACAAACAAACAAACAAACAAACTCAGTTTGAAAGTCAAATCCAAGGGGCCGCAGGTGGCTTGGTGGTTTAGGCGCTGGACACTCCCACATGGCTGACCATGGTTCAAGTCCTGGACCTGGTGACTTGCTTTCTCACTTTCCTCTTTCTCTCTGTCTCTCTCTGGTAAAATAAAAATAAATGAGCAAATAAAATAATTCTTTTAAAAAAAAGAATCCAAATGAAGTCAGATCGCCTGTGTATTTAGTCCCTTTCTTTTACCAAGAATCTCTGATCATGATTACAAATATTTTTGCCTTTTCAGCCAATAAATACTTTTTTTTTTTGAGAGGTTTTTGCTATAGGGCGCATGCGCTTGCCAGACAGAGACAGACAAGAGAGACAGAAAGCGAGAAATCACCCCCCAGGGGGGATGGTCACGCCGCAATCCCTTCTCCATTCTCCTCTCAGGATCTTGGGCACGCATGCACACATGCCCGGCGTGAGTTTTAAGCCACTGGGTCCGGGACTCAAACCACGGTCGACTATGTGGGAGTCCAGCGACATAGCCATTACGCTAACTGCTGGTCCCAACAAATACTTAAGGGATATTCCACCAAGCAATATGTATAACATCAGGGAGAGCAGGCAGGAAAAAAAACCCTCTTCTTCTTGACTCACTCGCACTCGTAAATAACTGTAGGGTTACACCTGCGTCTGTATTAAATGCCAGGAACGAGGTAATGCAGTGGTTTGAAACCAGGGATGAATTACCCAGTCAAGGAAGGCTTAAGAGTTATTATTAACTAAGTCATAAGGAGGCATCTTGGGGCTGGCAGATGGCGCGGTCGTTAAGGGCGCTGGACTCTCTCAGGGCCGACCAGGGTTGAGTCCTCCTCGACCTGGCGGCTTGCTTTCTCACTCCCCCCAACCTCCGCGCTCGCTTTCTGTCTCGCCTCCCTCTTTGATAAAATTGAAATGAATAAATAAAGTTAAATTTTTAAAAATAAGTCTTAAAAAGGGGGAGGGCATCGTTACTGAAGAACCCGAACATTCTAGAAGGCGGCGGTAGCTTGCCACAAGATGGCGAAGCTCCCAGGAACCAAACCACGCCGGACCCTGGGTGTGTTTCTCAGCAGAAAAACAATGGGGCTACCTGGAGCTGGGGTAGACTCAGGGTCGGGCTTGATTAATACTGACTATCCCACTGGGCCGAAAGCTGTCTCGTCCATTTGCACCCCAAGAACCTATGACTACAATAGCACTGCCCTTAGCAGGCGCTCTACTGGGTAACGGACAGAATGAACCCGGGGCCTCTGTGGCCGGCTCGGTCCACCCGGGGCCCAACTCCGGCCATTTCCTAAGCGGCCACAGCAAGGGAGTGAAGGAATCTGACCAGCCGCCTCGAAGACCTCGGCTCTCCAGGCTCCGAAGACCCCCTCCCGGGCTTGGTCTCTCAGCGGCTCCGGGAAATGCAGAAGCGGCCCCCTTCGGGTAGGCGTCGTCTCCCGACCCAGACGCTACACACCACGCTCTCGTCAGGGACTCATCAGCGGCAGGGAAAAAAAAAAAAACACCGCTTATAGCACCGCGCGAGCCAGCGTTTCCGGGAGCTCAGGCGGAGGCGGCTGCCTTCTTCAGGCGGTGCCTACGGTGGCCCGGGCGGTCAAGCCTCGCGTGGGCACAGGTCGCGAAAGGCCAGCTTGGACAGGCGCTGGCGTGGGATTTTCGTGTGCGACTGCACGCGTGCCTGCTCTGTAATGGGACAGGGTCAGGTTCTGTGGAAGATCAGTCTTGGTAACTGCAGTGTGAAGAGTGGATGTAAATTGGGCACGAGAGCACCGAGCCATCTTGCCCAAGCGAGAGACCACGCTGAGCAAGCACATTTATGTGGACCCAAACACATCGACTCAACCTTCTAGATGGTACCTCTCTAAAAATTAATCTTAAGTAGTCCTAATTTCCCGTTAATACAGGATTAGCATCCAGACTGCTGTAAAAACGCCAGGGTTGACCTCATTGCCCTTGGCTTGACAAAAATGTTCTCCATAATTCCAATGTCTCTCTATAATTCCAAGGAGGAAACTGGGTCTTAGAAAGATCAGATTGTCCGAGATCTCACAGTGATGAAGGTGGCTTCCTGGACATGTGTCCTATGATCCTGGCTTCTCTGTTCCTCTTACTTTGGCTCAATCACTTAGAGGTTTAACAGCTCTTGGAGCTCTGCGAATCCTCCCAGTTCCACGATCGATAAATAACTCTAATGAGGTTAAATTCTGTAGACTCCGTAAAGTAGGTAGGAGAAATACAAGGGATACTCTAAGCAGAACATGGCCTGACTTTTTGCCCTGGATATGGCTGAAGGTCTATTGGGAGCTGATGTCTGGACAAAGCTTCAGTGGAGAGGGTGTTGCACTCTGGCTCCCAGGGAAGGGGGAGGAATCCCTTGATGTTCCTGGAGCTCAGGAACCAGGCAAGGATCTCAGCTGCAAGGAAGCTTACATAGCCATGTTAGAATCCCTTAGGATAACTGACCACTGGGAGGAGTAAAGGTTAACTAAGTAATGCTACATAGCATGCAGAAAGCTTCTGGTTTTCCTAGTAGTAGCTACAGCTTAATGGTTTTCAAAATTTTCTGCCTATTAGATTTTCTGGTAGTGACATTTATATATATATATATATATATTTTTTTTTTTGAGAGGTTTTTGCTATAGGGCATGTGCACTCACCAGACAGACAGAGACAGAGAGAAAGTGAGAAATCACCCCCTGGGGGGAATGGCCACGCAGCAATCCCTTCTCCTCCATTCTCCTCGGGATCTTGGGCACACACGCACATGTGCCTGGTGTGAGTTTAAGCCACTGGGTCCAGGATTCAAACCGTGGTCAACTACATGGGAGTTCAGCAACATAGCCATTATGCCAACTGCTGGTCCCCAACATTTATATTTAAAGCATCCCCACATTAATTCAATGAGAATGTTTCCTAGATCAATGATTGCCAGACATCAAGGATATTAATAGATACACTTAGGCATATTAAAAAAATTTTTAGAACAAATTTTTTAAGAATTATTTTATTTAAATTTATTTATTTACTTTAATTTGACCAGAGAGGGACAGAGAAAAGGGAAGGAGCCTGCCAGGTCTGGGATTCAACCCTCGGTCAGCCATGTGGGAGTCCAGCATCCTCAACCACCATGCCATCTTGCTGGCCCCTTTTTTTTAAACAATTTTTTTAAGAATTATTTTATTAGGCATATTAAAATTTTAACATATTTGAGCATTCAGTAGTTCATGAATTGAGGCAAACCAGACCACAATTAGTTCAGAAATTTTTATAAGGTGTTAGAGGAAGGAAGACAAAGAAAATATTTCATTGATTGACATAGAAAGTCTCTAATTAGAAGTTTCTGGGAAGCAGCAGTTAGCGTAATGGCTATGTCGCTGGACGCCCACGTAGTCGACTGTAGTTCGCGTCCTGGACCTGGTGGCTTAGAACTCACGCCGGGCGCGTGTGCGTGCGTGCCCAAGATCCCGAGAGGAGAATGGAGGAGAAGGGATTGCGGCGTGACCATCCCTCCTGGGGGGTGATTTCTCGCTTTCTGTCTCTATGTCTCTCTCTGTCTGTCTGGTGAGCGCACGCGCCCTATAGCAAAAACCTCTCCAAAAAGA